TCTATCGTTAGAATCACCATGACCCAATCTACCTTTTTCTCCTTTGCCCCATGTAAACAATTCTCCTGTAAACATGACAGCAGCACCAGCAGAATTTTCACAAGCAACCATAGAAACATCCAAATATAAAAAGTCCTTCATAACCAGAGGCTCCTTCTTATCTTCTTGATTTCCGTGTCCAAGTGAACCACTAGCACCTTGACCCCATGTATAAGCATCACCAATTCTTTCAAATTGTTCCTTGAATTTTTGTTTCTCATTTTCCATATCGTGGACGATGGTGATTGGTGCGAATTTTGGTTCGTTTCCAACAACTGGGACAACAGTCTTCTTCTTTAAAATGGAATCCAAGTGTGACAACAAGTATGTGATACCTTGTACCCATGTGTGATACTCTTGCTTATCCTTACATACAATATCCAAAGTTCTATCTCTGTACAATAATGAGAATGAAAGACCTTCAAGATCAGGATTCTTATACTTTTGGAAAATTGCTGTGTTTTGGCCGTAACAAATCTTCTTGACATCAGTAAGAGACACAATAGATTCGTTAGATTGCTTATTAGGGGATCCCCACATAAGTTCAGTTTCATCAGAACTCAATACAAATCTTCTAAAGTGAGGCTTACCAGTACGACAATATTTGAGCATAGTAGAACCAGCCTTCATTCTTCTGATACACTCTTCAGGTGGAATGACAATACCATCATTGTCACTCATAGCCAAAGCAAATGTAGTTGAAGAATCGTCAGCAATTGTATGTACATCCACATTGAGTGTCTTATTCTTCTTGGAAATTTTAGATTCATTAATCAAATTGTGCAAAGTGATGGTCCAACTATTTTTTTCGGCTGGTGTAGCTGTCTTGATGATGATTGCCTTACTTGGTGATTGTAATTTAAAGATTGTGTCATCAATTTGATCTTCTTGGTTTAGGTAGCTGAAAATAATCAAATCATTGAGAGGAAGTTGAAGTTTGAGGGTGAAAGTTTTCCCTGATTTTTGTGAAAGGAGAATAATATCATTGAAAAGATGAACATAGATATCTCTTGTTTTGGTAAAGTCAGCGGAAACAATTTCTTGCAATGCACCATCTTTCAAGAATTTTCTATGAGGTTCAACCAAATTCAATTCACCATAGAATTGGGATTGAATCTTGATAATTTCATTGGTTGCTTCAATACTCTTCATTGTATTGTTCAAGTGATCGGCAACTTCACAAATCTTTTCGAGAGCCAATTTCAATCCTTTGTAATCGGGATGGGAAGGTCCTGAATGTTTGATCAAATCTTGGAGAAGCAATCTATATCTTGGAATACGTTGGATTGGGAGAATAAGATAACTTTGCAGACCTAACTTGGAGGTTCTACTATCCTTATCCATCTTGGAAACTTGTTCCTTGAATTCTTCCCTCTTTTTGCATTCCCTGAGGACTTCATTTGCCTTATCAAAATTGTTACAGTATCGTGAATAAGTTTTAAAGAAAGGTGCAATTTGGAGGAAAATATCACTGATCGTAACAGTGTATACATAGTTTTGGAGCCTCTCTTCTAAATCTTTCAAAAATGTATTGTTAAAGTTCAAAATAACATCAATATCCGAGAAAATAGCAGAGACTTCTTCCTTGGTGATCAATGGTTTATCCTTTGCAGCCATAGCTTTGAATGGTTTAAGATAAACTTCTTGAAGAATGTTAAGTGATTCAACATAGTACTTTTCTGTTGACAAAATTTCCTTGGCACAATTTTCTCTGTTAAGTCTGGCTTTTTGCATCTTTTTGTAGGCCTTTTTAGCATCCCATCTTCTGATATACTTTTGAAGAATAACAGCAGCATCTTGTTGTTTTTTAGTTGGATGTTTGTAAATTTCCTGGAATTCCAATGTTTCAGCATCTGATTCAGATGTAATAGAAAGTTTAACTTGTTTTGTGAGAGAGCTACTAACAACAGTATCCTCAACTTCAGGTGGAACATAAGGAATGAATTTTCCTTGTGGGAGCTTATCGCCTAATCCAACAATTCCTGAAGCATAAGGCATTCCATTGGCTGATGGACGAATAGATATTCTTGATGAATTGAATGAATCGGAATAGGTGATTGTAGAACCTGGATCAACATTTGTTGTGGTTGTGTTTGGTTCAGAACCATTTTCTGAAGTTGGTAGATCGACTTGTGTGACTGAAGAAGTAACAGCTCTTCTGGCTTGTGGAATTGAAGGTGGAACTTTTGGTGTTGGTCTACCCAAAGTTGAATTTGTAGTTGTAGTACCTGGAGTATTTCTAAACTTTTTAGGTACAGCAGGTTTGTTTTTTGGCAATTGATGAATAGCATTTACATCATTCGGTCTTCTTGGATCGTCCTCCATATTTCCGTCCTCATTATTTGTCATATCATAAAGATTGTCCTGTTGTCCAGCAGAATTAACTCTTGTGAGTGTTTGCGTTGGAGATGAAGATGGTGATACTGGAGTTAATGTTGCGCTATTTTCTTGTTGCGTTGTTGGGGTGGTATTTATGGTTGGAGAAGGTTGATGCTGGCTTGTTGTTGGGTGGTGGTGCTGATGATTCTGAGAATTACCTGCAGCAACTTGTGTAGTATTGGTAGTATTGGTAGGTGTGGTTGTTATTATTCTTGGACTAACAGTTGGAGGAGTAGTGTTATTATTATTGGTAGTGGTATTTGTTCTATTCAGTCCAACATTGAGTGAGGTTCTATCGGTTGGTGTTGGTGGCAGAGTTCTTGGAGTTGTGGTATTGTTACCATTGTTTGTTGTTGTTGTTGTTGATACAGGATTGCTTGAAGTAGTTTTAGTTGGAGGAAGAGGACGACCACTTGGGTGACCATTGCCACTACCACTGCCACCACCACTAGTTGATGTTAATTCTGATCCGTTAATCCTTGTTGGTTTACTTGAGGTAGGAGCATTGTTTGTTGTACTAGCACCACCACTACCTGTATTATTCCTATTTTCAAAGGCTGCTATTCTATCCTTTAAATTAGACATTTAATAGTTTCAATTCTATAATGTTTGATCCAAAATGTATTATGTTATTCTAGTTCCAATAATAAGGTGATCCCGTGTATAGCAAGCTAATAGAGTTCTACTAAAATTATTGTTGTTGTTGTTATTAATTGTGTGGATCACTCGATAATCTTCAAAGATCGGATATTACTAATTGGATTTTTCTTCTTTGATGATCTAAAAAGATATTTGAAAAAATTTTCTATTTCCTTCTAGATCGTTTTTGTTTGTTGAAATAACAATTGATAGTTTGTTGCAATTTGATTCAATGTAAATTGAATAATTTTCTTTTATCTTCTTCAGCCAATTAGCAACAATTTGTTGGTTATCAGATCAATCTGAAAAAGAACACAACAGTAAAATATTGTTGATTCAGATAATATATTCTACCAAATGATTGTTTTTCAAAGAATCCCTGTAAGATGTTTATCTTTGTTGGCAGGAGGTTCAGTGAGTGGTGAGGATTTTTTTTATAATGATCCATCAATTCGATTGGTGACACGGACAAGGAGTTAGAAACTTTGGATGTTGTTTCTTCTTCTTGCATTGCTGAGAAATCACAACAACACGAATCTCGCTATTATTGATAATTGATTCACCATTGCTTAAATCAAGTAATTTTACAACAGCACAATCCAAATTAGAGATAATATAATCTTCGGCTAATGTTATCATAATCAATATTATTGGTTGACTTGATACAAACTACATTTTTAAATAATTACTAAAGTTTCATCTACATTGATGTAGACTTTGAAAAGCAAAAGAACGAATTGAATAAAAAAGAAGGAAAAGGAATTAAAAAGAGAAGGAAAAAATGAAACAATCTAATGACTCAGGCATTTGTAACTCGGAACTAGTGAAAAACATTTTATCGGAATGTAATCAAAGCAAGGAAAAGGGAAATCAACATTTTAAAACAAGGGAATGGGAACTTGCTGAGAAGTATTATCAAGAGTCTTTGAGTAATTTGGTAGTTTTTGTGAGGGATTATATTTCTAAAAACAAGGAGGTTCAAGATGAATCAAAAGATGCAAATAAGTCTACCATTGGTCAAGTGAATGAAACAACAACAACAGCAGATGATGATGTAAATAATTCTGAAAATATTACTAGTACAAACAATTCCGAAGAGGAAATTAATGAGGAAAATAATAATGAAAATAATAATGATATATTATTAGAAAATTCCGAAGTTTTACTTTCAGAAAAGGAGACCTTGGCTTTAATTTCAAAAGATTTGGATTTATTTAAAGAAGATAATGATAATCAAGTGAAGACATTGCTGATTGTGTTATATTCGAATTTGGCTTTAACATTTTTCCAAATGAGTTCATTTCAAAGAAGTTTGGAGTATTGTACAATTATTTTGGATCATTTAGATTCGGAACATTATAAATCACTTTACAAGAGATCTCAATGTCATGAACAATTGAACAATTATCAAGCCAGCTATTCGGATATGAAAAAATTGCAAGACATTATTTTGAAAGATCCTACAATGATTCCAGACCAGTTGGCCAAGAAGATTCTATTGGATGCAGAAAGATTACGTGTGAAATCAGAAGAAGAACAAAAGAAGCAATTGGAAGAAATGTGGGGTCAACTCAAAGATGTTGGAGGCAAGTTTTTGGGAGCTTTTGGTATCAATATTAATAATTTTAAATTTGATAAGGATCCAAATAGTGGATCTTATTCTTTATCAATGAACAATAACAAATAACAACCTTGACAACACAACTTCAAGATATATTTATTTTCTTCTTAATACTCAAACTTTACTAAATCAAAATTTGCCGACACCAGGGACCTTAAGATCTTCAGTCTTACGCTCTCCCAACTGAGCTATGTCGGCTTCTTATTAAACACAATTCAGTTACTAACGTTAATATTAAGGATCGATGGAAAACACTGTTGAATATGCTTCTCTTTTTATGAATGGATTTTGCTGCTGTGGTATGCACTGGAATGGTTGTTTATTATTGTTAACTAAATCAACATTCCATTGAATTTCACTTGACAGCATCTACAGTTTTTCTTTTTTATTTAAAATTCGAATTTAATTACCATAATTTTTAAATTTGGTTTGGAAAATAAATTCAACTCTCTGATTTCATCAGGAAATATTATTCGATGATTCAACATGCATCCTACCAAGGCTATGAGCATAAAACGACTTATCAGATCTGCTCGGATGCATGGATACTAAGAGGTATCAGCTTTGGCTCGTCAATTTCAGGCGTTTCATTCTAGGAAACTTCGTAAATCTTTTGCTTTACAGGTTTGGAACAAATAGAATTGAATTTTAAAGTGTCATGAAAAATATTACTTAAGACAATTTATTAATCCTTGTTATTGTGACCTTGTTTTATTCAATCCACAGATCAAGAGTAAGTGGCTGTTGTGAAATTGACGAACAATAATACTAGTCAAGCAATTAAGAAGTTTTAAATATTTAGGATTTTTATTTTAAGTAGATTTAGAAGAGACCACCGAAACCCATTTCTTCTTCTTCTTCTTCAGGTTCTGGCTTCTTTTCTTCAACAGCAGCAGCAGTTGAGGCAGCAGCAGCTGGAGCGGAAGAGGCAGCAGCACCACCAGTTGGGACGGAAGCCAACTTTTCCTTTCCGGAGGCAATAACGTCGAAAACGTTCTTACCAGACAATTCCTTCAAGAGTCTATCAATTTGTTCACCATCGACTTCAGCACCAACAGAGCTCAAAATCTTTTCAATATCCTTCTTGGCTGGTTGTTCGTTACCACCTAAGACTGCCAACAAATAAGCTGCGACGACCTTCATTGTATATGATGTGAGGGATTTTTTTTAAACAATTCAAAGTTTTTTATTTTTCGTTGGACTTACAATTAATGAACGGTTGACGCATCTACTTTACAACAAAAACTTTTCTAGTGCGTTTTGCTTGGTCAAAGTCAGAAGTGAATTTCGCTCCCAGCTTTGAGCATCAATTCTGAACACTCACAAAAAGTTGCCAACTTAATACAAAGTGTAATTAATAAATTCTACTTCTTTACCAAACAACATCCTCATCATAAATTTAACACAATTTCGATATGAAGAAGATTTATACATTCCCTTTCTTGTTCAAGAAGCGCATGCTTACGTCATCATGATTTTCTTAACAACAAAGGTTGTGTTTTATTGACAACAATTAGAAATCATCATAGTCCTTCTGTCCAAAGAGGTCATCCTCAACATCCAAATCATCATCATCGAAACCTCCTCCACTAATAGAAGCATCTGATATGTTCCATCCATCGGAATGGTGGTCATTGTGAGCATGTAAGTGGTCATCGTTGTGATGATTGAAAGAGTCATCGTGGTGATACTCTTCTTGTTGATGGTGTTCTTCCTCCTCTGTTGCTTGTTCATCATTCTGCTCGGATTCATAGTTAGAAGATGAAGTGGTGACTGTAGAGGCTCTTGAATCCGACTCTCTTTGTTGTTGTAACATACGTTTATACTCTTCAATGCTAGATGGTTTTTGCTCGGGAATTGGGTTATTCTCAATTCTTGCTGGTGGCTCTTCCTTGATTATTGTTGTTTGGCGAGGAGGTGATTCAATCTTCTTTTCCACTTCTCTCACGAATTGAGTTGTTGGTTGTTCTACAATTGTTGTTGGCTGTGGTGGTTGTTCAACAATAATAGTCTTCTTTGGGGATGGAGGCTTTTGATAAATTGGTTCAGGTTGCTTTTCTACTATTCTCTCAGTTTCATAATTGTTATTCTTCATATCAAACACAGAGGAAGAGGAAAATGTGGAGGGAGTGGAAACTTCAATGGTTGGAGGAGGATTGTTTGTTGAAGTAATGCTAGGGGAGGTAGAACCAATAAATCTGGTTGTTTGCTCCTCAACTGGTTGCTGTTGTTGTGGTGCTTTAATTTGCTGAGTTGGATGATGTTGTGTGAAATCAATTGAGGAGGTGGTTGAAGGTTTGGTATCATATTGATAATTCTTAGGGGAAATTGGTTTGTAGGATGTTGTGAAAGTCGATGGCTCGTCAAGAGTCTTCTTTGGAGGTGAGTTTCTAGAAGTAGGGGATTTAGTTGATGGAATTCCACTGATAGAGGAGCTTATTGGAGGTAGATTTGTTGTTGATTGATAATCATCTCCTCTGGTGTTGAAAGAATTAATACTACTCGAGTAGTTGTTGTTGGTGGATGTTGTTTGACGTTCAGGATTAGGTAAACCATAGTAAGATGATGGTTTAATATCTTCCATCATGTAATTATTTGAAAATGATCCAAGCCCTAAACTCTCGAAAAAGTCATTTGTTTTTTCCTTTGTAGGTTGTCCCAAAGAAGGAGATGGCTGTTTGCTTTCTTTCAAATCTCCAAAATCTTTGCTGAACGAATACCCCAACTTGTCTATTTCATTCAATTTTTCATGAATAGAAATCTCAGGATAATCGGAGAGTTTAGCATAAAGATTATCATCCCTCAAAGAGGATGGATATGAAATTTCTGGCATTGATCCCTTAGATCCAATATCAGAAAAACTTGTCTTTTTCAGTTCTCCTCCAGACACCCTTGGTAATTCCAATAAATTCCTCAAACGATCAATTTCATGTTGAAGCGTTCTATTCTGAAGATATTGTTCCTCTAAATCTCTTTGCATTCTCTCTGATCGTACTCGATCTTTTTGTAATTTTTCACTCATGGAAGCCCTTTCTGCTGATTGCCAATGTAGGAGAGCCTTTTTGGCTTTTTGTTTTTCTTCTATGAGTTCCTTCCTACATTCATCCATGAGTCTCTTCTTTTCTCTTTCATTGTCTTCAACGTTCGATCGTAGAGCTCTCTCATTTCTTTCATAGACAAGAATTCTGTCTTGTAAGTTGGAGAACTCACGTTCCTTATCTCTTAATTGCAATTTAAGATTTTCAATTTCTCTATTGAGGGAATTTTCTCTGACAGGATCAATTGATGGAATGTGAATAATGGCAGGTGTGGCTGGCTTTTCATTGGAAGTATTTGTTTGTTGTTCAGCTTGCTCCTTTATCATACCTAGCTGCATTCTTAGCTGATCATTCATTTCTTCCAAGTCTCTAATTCTCTTTCTAGATTCATTCAACTCGCTCTTTACAATGTCAAGAGAGCCCTGATATTGTTTAATTGTTTCTTCCAGGTGAATGGCCGCACTATGTTTTTTTAATTGTTCTGCAACTTGTTCCTTTTCCAATTCCAACTTTCTCCTTTCCTCTTCAATTCTTCTCATATTTGCAATGTTTTCTCTCTCCAAGTTTGCTCTCATTAAAGACATTTCAGATTTGACATCAACAGTTGTTTGAGCAGCCAATACGTCCAATCGTCTTGCCTTTTCTTCCAACTCTGTTTTTCTCATCTCCAAATTGTTTTTTTCTCTTGCAAGACCTTGATTTCTACGTTGAAGATCTTCAATTTCTTTGTACATTTTCTGTCTGTGCTCGAATGATTGCTTTTCCAAATCCTTTTCTTTCTTTTCGAGTCGAGCTGAAATTTCTCTTTCCCTCTCCATGAGACGTTCCATTTTTCTCATGTGGGATTTTTCCATTTCTTCTATTTCTCTAGCTATTCTTTCTCTGTATTTGGCACTTTCTTCCAATCTCATAGCACTAATTGTTGTCTCTTCAAACATTTTCAGTCTAGACTTGAGTTCTTCATTGGCTCTTTTTTCACATTCTCTTTGATATTCGAGATATTTCTGTTCCAAGGATTGAGTCTGGGTTTTCTTTTCATTTTCCAATTGAGTTATAAATTCTTCATCAATCATTTTTAATTTACTATCTACAGGTTGGTCCTCTGTGAGTGGATCTGTTTGACACATCCCAACTCGAGTTTGCTTATCGCCTAGCTTTTTTATGACTGACAAGAATTTCGTCAGAATACTCTCTCCTTTCCAGTTTGTGCTGTAGTACATTTCTGATAAAAGTTTAGTAAGTTGATTATTTGGATCATAGTCCAACAATTCATGAGAGTCTGTATCTTTGACAACATCCAAATTATACATTTTAAGTCCAATTAAATGATAAACATCATATTCTGAATTCTTGGGTACTTCTTTAATGTTGGCTTCGGAAGTAAAGATACTCGTGGTGAATGAATAACCATTTTTTTTCAGGTGATCCAAAACAATTCCATCCTGAAAGTTTGTGGGTATGAGTTTGTGACATAATTACTTACACATGCTCTTTGAATTTCCGATCGAGATCCAAAAACTGAAATATTTGGTTCCTTAGCTGGTGCTCTCTTTGTCAAGTCATCATAAATTACGCTTCTCAATTGAGTTTTTAAAAGTCCAATCACACCCTTATCCTTATACTTTTTATACATTTTCCTTCTCATATCTTCTTCCGATAATTCTTCCAGAACATCTTTCCTCCTTCCACTATTTGAAGAACGTCCACTGCTCACTGAAGAATATGACAATGCTGGTGAATAAGAGCCATCATAATTTTGAAATTCTCTCCTCGATGATGATGAAGATTTCTTTGTTTTTCTAACAACAGCTTCATAATCTTCAGAAGGGTGATACTCGTAATCATCTACAACATTCATGGCAGCATCATAATCAGTTCCGTGATGTTGATATTCGTAGGGCTGACTGAGAGACGGCATTGATTTTGTATGTGTTATTGAATCAGAACGGGGTGAATAAGGCATTTCTTTGTGTTTGTTGGTGCAAAATATTCAAACTACAAAAATAAAATGGCGCCAAATTACAATGTAATTGGAGAAGCAAATTGTTATCGTATTTGCAATTATAACTTGGAAATTTATTGTTTGGATTAATATTAGGAAGAGTTATTGATTCAATCAATGAAATTACAAGAGTTTACGTTGTTGTCAAATAATTTCGGAACCTGTGTTGTAACGGAATCAGGTTGGCGCCACAAATAAAAATTCCCTCCAATTTTCTTTAACGGTTGTTTTCTTTTTAAAAAATTTAAATAAATTGGATTTTAATCAAACCACTCTCTAAAAAAAATACACACAACAACTCTAGATTAAAATGACCAAGGTTAAACTCACCAACGTTGAAGTTAAGAACAACCCAACCAAATTTACCGATAATATTGAATTAGATGTTACCCTCGAATGTATGGAAGAAATCTCATCTGATTTGGATTTGGAACTTGTCTATGTTGGTAGCAGTGCTTCTGCCGATGAAGATCAAGTTTTGGAATCTGTTTCCGTTGGTCCAGTCAAGGTTGGTACAAACAAGTTTGTTGTCACTGCTCCTGCTCCAAATGTTGAAAAGATTTCTGCTTCCGACTTGTTGGATTGTACTGTCCTCTTGTTGAAGGTTTCCTACAATAATCAATTGTTCTCTCAAGTTGGTTACTTTGTTTCTAACCAATATACTGATAAGGAACTCCAAGAAGCTCCTCCATCGAAGCCAATTGTTGAAAAGTTGGTTAGAACTTTGAACGACAAGCCAAGAGTTACTACTTTCCAAATTGAATGGTAATTTTACTTCCGAGGTGTATAGTTTTCTAAATATTATTAATGATTGTTTTAATTATCAATCATTCAATAAACCTAAGCTATTTATTCATCTTCTTCGATTGATTCTAATACTGGTTCCTCGACATTGTTAATTGGTTCTCCTTTAGATCCCTTCGATAATCTCCACCCCCTAGAATGTAAAAGGAATTTAGCAATGATACCTTCTTCCTTTTCAAGTTTCAACATGTGGGAATAGATTCTCTTCTTGAATTCTTCCATCTCCTTGTAATAATCGGAAGGAGTGACGTGACCATTAACTTTGGCTCCTTGTTTAGCATTATATCTCTTGAATTCTTGTTCACATAATAATAATCCATTGGCTGGAGCAAGTGGAACGTTGGCAGTAACTTCCTTATCAACAGAGGTACTGAAATCACTTTCATTGAGGGAACCACGCATGACAGCAATCATGAAACCAACCATTTTTCTGATTTGGTTATAAATGAATGAAGAACCAGTGACAGTGAGCTTGACAACTTTCATTCCATCAATTTCAAAAGCTTTAGAACATTCAAACTTGGTAATGTGTCTATTGAAAGAGTTTGGCTTGGCTTTTGTGAGTTGAGTATAATTATGGAAACTATTGGTTCCAACAAAGTTTTTCAAAACACGATTAGCCTTTTCAATTTGTTCATCTGTTGGATCATAATTGTAAATATCATTCAAATTTTCACTTTCCACATCCTCCTTGGTAATCTTGTCAATATTAATTTGTCCAAACCATGTTGCTGCTTTTGGATCTGGTGATAATGCAAAAGCAGGTAATAAATATTCATAGGTACGAGCTGTACAATGTTCCTTAGCATTGAATGATTTAGATACCTTTTTGTATCCATAAAAAACAATATCCTCAGGTAAAAGTTTTCTCATTTCTTCTTCCAATCCTGGTTTCATTAAAAGTTTCATTTCCAAAACATTTGAGGCAGCATGAACACCCTTGTCAGTTCTTGAACTTCTGTGAAAATGAACCTTATTCATGTCAGTACTATTGTCACCAGAAACACCTCCTGCTTGACAAAGAGCTTTAAACACAGTTTCTTCTACAGTCTTGACATTAGGATTGGTAAAATTTCTAAATAATTTCAATATTAGATATAATAATTTTAAACACATACGAAGTTTGTGAACCATTATAATTTGTTCCCAAATACCCAATGAAAATTGCAACTCTTCTTTTTTGGAATTTTTCTTCTCCTTCCTTTTTTTCTTTAGGTTCTCTTGGACCCCAATCATTATCTCTCTTGGCAGAAGCTGTTCCTTTACCTCCCTTCTTATAATTTTCCTTTCTCTTCTTCTTGTCATTTGATGATTCGGAAGGTGGATTCTTTCTCTTTTTATCATCATTCCCACTATTACTTGTTTCCGATGTTGACACTAAATTTACTTCACTTGAAGTTGGTTCTTGAATTGTTGTTGTATTTTCTACAGCAGCAACAGTAGCAGCTGGTTGTTGCTCATGAACAATTTCCCCCGATGTTGTTGTTGCTGGTGAAACGCTAGGTGTTTGATGATCAGACATTTTTTTCGAAGTTTTATTTGAAGTGCTTTTTTTAAAAAGAAGTGAAAAACAGTTTTCCAAGTTGCCACAAGATTTGAATGAGCTCATGAAATGATGAAGGAAAAAAAGATTGAATTCGGTCGAGAGACTCACAAGTTATATTTTATATTTAAGAGCAAAATTGATTCAAAATTTGTGCTTTAAGGAATAATTGATTCAATCTTTCAATTATTTACGCTTGTAAAGGTCAACTTTCTTATTCTTCTTTCCACCTCTTCTGTTCTTTCTATTCTTTCTATTCTTCTTTCTGTAGGTGTCGATTCTTCTCTTCTTGTTAAATCTTCTCTTCTTTCCATAAACATCAATCTTCTTTCTGATAATTCTCTTCTTTCCATATCTCTTCCATCCTCTTCTCTTTCTTCCATAGGTGTCAATGTACTTGTTGAGCTTTCTATTGTTCTTTCTCTTCTTGAGTCTGAATCTCTTGAGATTTCTCTTCTTGTTATTATTCTTTCTAATATACAAGGAAAGTGTTGAGGCAGCTGATTCTTCAGCAGAAACTCCTGAAGTGAAGGAAAGTGCAAGAATTGCCAAAGTCAATGCAATCAATAAGATTGAAACGAATCTTTTCATTTTTTGTTTTTTGATTGTGTTTGAGAAGTGAAACAATGTTCCAGTTTTAAAGATTTGAAAAGAATAGTTTGATTAGTATATTGATTTTTTTGGTATGATTGAAGATTAATGATTTTCCAAAAAAAGAGTAGCCACAGATTTTGGACATTGTACATTTGGTCTTTGTTATTCAGTGCGGAGAATTGAACAAGAACAGAATGAAAGAACTTCAATGGTTGGATTGAGCACCATGGCGTGGAATCCATTGGAATGAATAAATTTCCAATGTTGAAAGTAGGACTAAATGATTCTTTCAATTTTCCTATCTATTCCTTTTTGATCTTTATATGGACTGTAAAGAACTACAGCAAACACTGTATTGGAAATTGTACTCCTTTTGTTTCTAATGGGTACAAGTTTCAATCTTACGAAAGGCACTTTTTGTTCTCATTCCTGAAACATTAGAACAGCTCTTGTAAGACGTTCTATTTCAAGTAGTTTAGAAAATTGTAGATAGAGTTCATAAATAAATTTCACTAAGGAAGACGGTAGAACAATCAATGATTATACTATTCAAAAAGATGTACCTCTTCACTTGGTATTGAGATTGAGAGGGGTTGCTTGATGAATAATAGCAAAATTATTGAAAACTAACTTCTATCGTATTTCTTGATGTTTAAGGTGCTTCTTTAAATAGTTTTGGATTTAAAATATTAAATCCAAAACCAACTCATATCAATTCAAGCTCACTTCTCTGCAGAATATTTCTTGTTCAATTCAGAAGAGGTGGTCCATGATCCATCTCCAAATCTAAACAAGTGGAGTTGAGCGATGAATTTCAATTGTAAAAGAGTGCTGACCTGGGTATACAAGTTTAAGACACTTAATTAGGTTTGACATTGCCCAGTTTAATACAAGGTTACATTTTATTCTTAGAAAGTTTATTGGGAGCTACAGAAACCATTGTAAAAGTTCTAATTGGGACTTGGACAAAAGTATTTAACATAGCAATGATTCGTGCTAAAAAAGTTAGCAAAGATAAAGTTAAAAAAATGAAACTAATCCTCCCAGAATTGTGGATTGAAATTTTTATAAATCTGTTTGATGGTTTAAACGAGCCATGGCAATTCGAAACTTTGGTAAACTGTTCCTTGGTTTGCAAAGAATGGTACCAGATGTTAAATTGGCAAATTGAAGCAACTCCAAGTACAAACTTGAGATTGTGGAAAGTACTTGCTGAAAAGCACTCCCTTCTCTATCAATTGACCGAGAAGATTGACATGAGAAGATTTTTTGCTCAAAATATCATTCCACAAGAATTTTCTAACGGTTACAAAACTGTTACATATCATGGAATGAATGGTCTCAATTATGGCAGTGGTGGATGTGCAAGAACATTCGATTTTAATTTCAATGCCAGTGTGTTTGGAATTCACTTTTTGAAAAGAATGATCAAACATGATGAGAAAATTGGAGAATTATTTTCAGATTTGATGAAGAAAATCATTGGCGTTGTGGCCAGTTCAATTCCTCAAAACAATTACTATTACCAATACCAGAGTATTTCCTTGGAGAGTAATATTAAGGACAAATTTGAGTATTTTACAAATTGTGAAAGAGATTCATTCTATCCACAAATTTATTTGGACAGAACATTTGAGGATGTCAAGCAGGAATTTGACAACAACTTGTTTGACTTTTTGAAAAAAGTGATTGGAGGAGAGGAGTGCCTCGAAGAAATCTCCAAATTAGAAGAATTGCTTGCTTTCATTAAGAAAGAATGTCCAATTGTTGCTGAATATAAGGAGTGTTATGTTGGCGTTATTGGCTCATTGGCTGTGGTGTTTATTACCAATAGTGGAAAATGTATCTTCTTTGAATATTCAGCAGACGATTAAATAAATTCGAAAGATTGTATGATGTAACTAGAGTTAGATACCATATATTCCACATGAGTTAGTCAAGCTCTCCATAAATTTTAACATATTAAGCTCTGGCGCAAAAACCAATTCTAAATCCCTTAATTTTTGGAATTTAAAATTTTAAAAAAAATGAAACGATCACTACTGGAGGAGGTGGACGATTTAAATCATCTTTGTGATTCTAGAATGATGATCAGGGATTCCGAATTATCTCTAGTTGATGTAAAATTTTCACCAAACAAGAAGAAAAAGACTAAAGATTCTGATCATGAAGAAACATTTTCTCTTCCCGATGAAATGATTGGAATTATATTATCATTTCTTGATTGGGAAGTAATTATGGAAAATATGATTCGGGTTTCAAAACAATTTTATGAGGAGTCTTGCAGGACAACTCTTCATGTTACCATTGAGGAAAATTGGCAATATAAATTCCTTGAATTTGGGACTAAACAAAAGCAGGAGGACAATTTACACAATGATATGGAATATAGTTTCGAATCGTACAAAAATCCAAGCATGTACAATTCTACTAAAATTAATATTCAATCATTGGTAATTACAAAACAATCCACCAAAGATTTCAAATTACTTCCCTGGATTAGAAATGCAACAATATTTTCCAACATGAAAAAACTTGTACTTTCTTCGTGTAATTTGGATAACTCATTGTGTCAGTTGTTGTGTTATAACATTCCTTCTGAAATTTCATTGGTGGAACTGGATCTGTCGATTAATTTAATTAGTGAAGGTGCAATGAAATATTTATTCGATTTTTTGATAACAAAGGGTATATCAATAGAAACACTCAATCTCTCCCAAAACTTGATAAGACATTTTCAACCCATTAAGAGAAATGTAATGTTCAATTTGAAATCTTTGGATCTTAGTTATAACAGAATTGATGACTGTATATTAGATTTTGCCAAATTTCATCAGCTAGAGAAACTAAAACTTAAAAATCAAGCTATCTCTGGCGAAAGCTTGATAATGATTCAAAAAATCAAAACTCTTTCATATTTGAATTTGGGTTGGGTTAAATCATTTTCAGAGGAAATATGCTCTCAATACTTTCAAGGTGCAATTCATCCCAATCTTCACACTCTGAAAATATCTTCAACTATTGGAGACGAGGGATGTTTGGAAATTGCCAACTGTAATCTTGCAAATTTAACAAATCTGAGCTTGGACATGTCTGGAATATCTACTGTTGGATGTTGCTATATTTCAAATTCAAAAACCCTCACTAAATTGGAACATTTAAGTCTGTACGGTAATAGTATTTCAGATGAGGGTCTCATCTCCATTCTCGAAAGTGTTAACCTGAGAAGTACTTTGAAATTTCTAAATCTTGGCTCCAATAACGTGAGCGAACAGGGCATTGAGTATATTCTGGAAAATGGTATCAACAAGATTATGGAGCTTATACTGGTCAATAGTTCGTGCTCTAGAAAATCCATTCAGAAAGTAAAGTCCAAGTTTAAGGAACAAATCACTATCTCAAAGAGCAGTGAACCTTCGTCATCAGAAGAGGAAAATGATGATGAAGAAGAAAGTGAAGAAGAGGAAATTGATGACAGCGAAGATTTAGAGTGGTAATAATAATCTCTAACTTGAATATGATGAAAACTTTAATTCACAATTAAGAAGTCCTAAGGTTGTTGTTGTCAATTCCAACGATGACATATTATCAAAATAGAAAAATCTCAAAGGTCCAACCTAATGGACATCTCAACAGTGGTGCTGGAACACCTGTACATAGTTACATAGTGGAGATGGTGGATTGGCCACAAGTGCTCAATTACAGCCTCAAGGAGTGTCTCTAACCGATCTGGCAATTAATGACACCAACATTCGTGAGCCAAATTAATCAGTAAATTGAAACAATTAACAAAAATCTTGATGATCAATCTAAATATTCCTCATCTGGAGGGAAGTGAAAACCTGAAGCATTATCAATCCAATTGAGAGCTTCGTCTCTATCAGTTGTGTAAATCACTCGAGTTCTCAAATCTACTTCCTCATTCTCATAAACAGTACGTCCTTCAGTTTCATGTACTGTGAAATAGTCATCATTTTCAACAATGATACATGCCTTTCTCTCATTGAGTAAGTCTTTTGCACTTATGGATGAATAACATAAATCAAAATTATTAACCTCAAATCCATAACAAGTCTCCTCAAAACACACATTAGAAAGCATACTATCTTCACTATAATTTGTACCTTCAGAAGAGTCACTACTTAGTCCATCATAATTTGGATCAATCTTCTCGTCTTGTATTTCAGTTAAATAGGTATTTTCAAATTGTTCAGAAATTATTTCCACTATTGCATTCAAAATTGATTCGTCATGGATTAATTTACCAAGTTGATCTGTTATATGTTTTGAGCTAATATTCAGATTTTCAACAAATTCATCTCTGTGTGATTTGAGTGTTTTCGTTCTGTTGCCAAAATAGAAATGATGGATTTTAGGGTTTGTTTTGGAAGAAACTAAATAACCAGCCAAGGCTACATCATTTCTAGTAACATAATCTCTACCACAAAATTGAGAGATATCTTGAGAAATTGTGAAATTATACGAGACAATGTTCTCAGCAGCTTGTTGAATCATCATTTTAGCGTTCGGTATGATGAATGATCCACTTTTGTAACTGCTTAGAACTTCATTGATAAGTAAATCCATTTTTTCCTTGGGAACTGTTAAATCTTTTCTCAAAATGAACTCAGGACCAATATTCAGCACTTCTTTTTCGTCTTGTTGAGTTTCATTTTCTTCTTCTTTTTCGTCTATTTCTTCTTCATTTTCATCTTTTCCCTCTGTTTCATCCGCGGTATGTCCTTCCTCGCGTTCCTCTTCATTTCCCTCAATGGAGTTTGGTTTTCTTTTCATAATTTTAATAAAGGGCCAATGCTTATAATCATATTCATCACTCCGACTGGCTTGATCAGTTTCATGTAGAAATTCAACTTGAGAAGAATTCCATTGAACCTTCTCGAATTCTTCAATAGGTTTTCTCATTTTTCTCAAGCTCTCATTATGCAGGTAGTAATCATGATTTGAATTTCTCTTACGTTTCAAAGAACTTTGGTCTTGAACTTGACTTTTGATCCATTCGTAAGACAATCCATATTCATTGTCTGACTCATCTGAAATATCTTCCATAACTTCCTCAAATTCATAATCGAAACCGTTTAGAGTCTCTACCATTTTGAATTCATTATTATAAACTGTTTCTTCCTTCTCTCTCTAACAGAAGAAGAATAATCATCTCCACATTCATACCAAACATCTGCGCGCATTTTCTCAAGAGAAAGTTTGTGAGAATCATTTGATTGTTCAACATCCTTGGCAATTTCATCGTCTCTATCGAAAGTTACTTTGATATCTCCATATTTTTCTTCAAGTGATTTGAAAATCATTTGTATTGTTGAATCAGATTCACCAAGTTGTGCAAGTATGCATGGTGTAAGGTTTCCCCAATGCGAAATTCTTGATTCCACAAATGGGTTTGCCAAATATTTCTTGATCAGCAAGTTTGATATTTCTACATTTCCACTATGAACAGCATAATGAAGAGCTGTCAAGCCACATGCATCGTGAATGTATGTATTCACATGAGCTTGAAGTGAAATATCCAAATACGGATTATTGGAAAGATGTTTAAGATTGGTATCTGATGTAATACCAACAGTTAAACACCACTCCAGCAATGATGGACTATTAATCCAAACTGCTAAATGTTGCAAGTAAAAGCTCTTTGCTATTTTTGGGATCATTCTATCCGTTGCATCAGTTCTCTGATAATTCACATGCATGCCAATATCACTAAATCTCATTCTTTCAACTTTAATTCCACAATCTCTCAATATTTTCATGATTTGAGTAACCATGCATGTTCTAGTCGAATCATTCATCAACAATTCAATGTCTCTAAACTTTTCAGCAATGAATAACAAGTATTTTCTTGGAATACACGAAGCAATTCCATCTAGTTCACTCCAACAGACTGCAATATCCTCTCCAAATAAACTCTCTGTTCCAATCACTTGCAATAAATTCATATTAAACACCAAATCCTCTCTCCATTCCATTTCTTTCGGTGTTTCATTCCATGAATTGACCAACTCAATAGCAGGTTGCAACAACTTTTCAAAAAACAATTCAATCAACACTCCAACTTTGCTAATTCCCAAATGAGAAATCATCTCTCTTCCCAAACACAGTTGAATCAACATTTTCAATAGAACATTGTCACAATTTGAATAGGCCTGATTCAACCACTCTGAAAACTTTTCAAATAAATTTTCCTTGCCATCATCTTCATATTCATAGCTAATCAACTCTCCGTTAAGAGTTTCATAGGCAGGTTTGCATGATTCCTCACAAGTCCAATCTTTAAAAGTGTCCCTATGGGTTCGGAACAATAATCGATCGATGAAGGCATGTGTAGGAAAATAATCAAATGTTGTATCTTTAGGTCTCAAATCAGCAAAAAGCACCTTGTAAAAGTCTTGATCATTGGTCATTTCGTAAAAAGTTTTATTTACATGTCGAAAGGTAATAATTTGCTTGAATAATGTGTACGGATCCAAGCCATATTGAAAGATGGTGAACAGAATCTCATGCGGCAAATGATCAAGACGCGAGGGAAGTGTGGATGCCATTTTTTTCGTGAATTTAACAAACTACTAGATAGATTACAAAAAACGTATTATAATTTACTAGTAATTAGACAGCCCAGTAATTAACAAAGTTCAGTATAAGTTCCTAACAGTTTCCATTTCAGAGGTGGCTATTCTTTTAAAAAAGAATTATACCATAATGAAGTAAACATTTAAGACAATCTGAAGGTTGGAATGCTTGTGAA